AAAAAAAACAGGAGACAGGTTGGTGAGGAGGCAGCACACAAAATGTCCAACTAGTATGGCAGGATTGGTGCTGATTGTGATTTCTGCTTTATTGTTTTCTGCATTAAAAAAAAAGGTTTTGGCAAATATAAGTTACAAGGAGAGAGAGAAAAAAGAAGCGAAGCAAAACTCTGAAATAAGCACATTTTCAAGTACAGGTATATACTTTCGTTATATACATAGGTTAAAGTTGCTTAATGGCGATCTACGTTCTTTTGGCATTGTGAGACCACTGTATTACAAGGCCAGCAAACAGACCTGCCTAAATCACAAGCAACAGCATGCAAGACATTCCACCTCTTGTGTTGTTTGCCATTTCTCCTTGGTCTCTTCCTGCTGCTGTCACTAACGCTGGTTTTGCTGCATTGGGGTTTGGGTTGGTTACTTATTTATTTTTAGTGAGTTAAATGATCTTATACACTAAAAAGGAGCGCTGGTGGTGCAGAATTTAAAGCTCTCATCTACCAATCCACCAGTTAGCAGTTCAAGCCCACCAGGCCATAGATTCCCAAACTTATTTGGCCTACCTCCCCCTTTTCAGGAAAAGTTACTCGGTGCCCCATGAGCAATTTAAACACTTTTGTGTTACAACCCACAATCCAGGGAGAAGTACAGGCATCTGTTTTACAACCTCCCCTGGATTGTTCCTATGCCCCCCAATGAGCGGTGTAGCCCACTCTGGGAAACATTGCCCTTCTGGTCTATGGGTGAAAGATGAGTCAGTCAATCTTCTGAGAAGATAGACAGCCATGGAAACTGTGGGGGGCAGTTCTAGCCTGTCTTCGAGGGTCGGTAGGAGTTGGAATCAGCTAGACGAAAACGGCTCGGTACCAGCAAAGGCCCCTCGTGGGCTTATTGCCTCGTCTGCAGCAAAGAGTCCATGCTGATGTCTCGGTGTCAGGCTCAGAGGAGGTGACAAAGAGAACATTACTATGAAAGCAAAGGTCTGCAGGTTTCTTTGAAGCTCGCCCGGGCAATTCAGGCAGACAGCTGAAAAAGTATTTTGTAGAGATTTGGATAGGAAATAAGCAGAAGCTGTTGGGGTTTTTTTCCTGGTCACTTGCCTACACACAGTTCTAGCTATTAAATTCCGTATCTTGGAGCAGCATAAATAGAGCTAACAGAGAGGGGAGTTCAGATCACAAAGGAAAACAACACTGCCTGTGCTAAGTCCAACCTCAAGCTCTTACCAGAAGCCTGTCCCAATCCAGGTGGTCAGTAGTCTTCGGTTTATGGTTTGTTTGCTTTTTTTAATCAGCTGTACAGTGAGTGAAATGCTATAAAGAACATATGTGCTCTCCCTGGCTTTCATTGGGTTTTTAAGTTTCTATAAGCTAACACAAAGTCGTCAGACAGGAACTTCTGAGGGTTAAAGGTTAGGAGACTGGCTACAGACTGTTCAGCTCCAAAGACGTGCCATATGTTACAAACACCAGAGAGCAGAGAGACATCAGGCAGTGGACACTTGGACATTTAATAAAAGACTGACAAATTGGACATCAAAAGGTTAAAAACATTTGTTTCCCAGGACACCAACAAGAACTTTATGCAAATATATGCAAAGCACACATCTGATAAGAAATGTGTGGTAAACATGTGCAAAGAACTTTTACAGTTCAATTGAAGAAAAAAAAAAAGATAAATAAACCACCCTCAACTACTATTAGAAACCACTTCCTGGGTGGCTTTGGAAATTCTCTGTAGCTGTAAACTTAGTAATGCTCTAAAAATTAATTCCAACTAAAATGGCAAGGTCTAACAGTGCTTATGGGTGAACTACATGCTGTAGTAAAGTCACTTGATGACAACTCGTGTTTGAATCACAAATCACGTCAAGCTGCTTCTCCCACGTTTGCCATTTTCGAGGAGCGTGAGAGAGACCTCCACCACCACGCAGATATGCGGGGGAATTACATTTTCTGAGACCAAACCGTTCCAGCC